AGCTTTGGGTTTAACTGGCTCTTCTCTTTCTAGAAGCTTGAGATGAAGCATTAGTTTGTTTATTTGTGCTCATTCTTTTTTTTTGATGTTTATTGCTATATGTTTCCCTCTTTTATACATATATATTTCCCTCCTAAGACCACTTTCATTGCACCCCACAGATTGCAATATGTTGTTTCTACATTTTCATTGAATTGTAGGTATTGATTTGTGTACTCTTTAATTTCATCTGTAGCCCACTGATTGTTCAAAAGGTTGTTATTTAAATTTTGTTTTTATGCAGATTTCATAATTTCTTTTGCCATTAATTTCCAATTTCAATGAGCTATGGTCACATATTGGGCATGGGATAATTTCAATACCTTTGCAGTTACTTAAGAATGTTTTATGGGATAATATATGGTCTATTTTTGAGACTGTCCCATGAGCTGCTGAGAAGAATGTGTATTGTGATGTGGTTCGGTGAACACTCTGTAAACATCTACTAAGTCCAGTTGCTTGCAGGTATGATTCAGTTCTATTATTTCTTTGCTGACTTTTTGTCTAGTTGATCTATCTCTTTGTGACAATGGGCTGTTAAGGTCCCTCTTATAATTATGTTCTTGTGTATTTGGCTTTTCATGTCCCTGAGCATTGGTCTTACATACTTGAATGCTCCTGCATTTTGTGCGTATATATTTATAATGTTAGTTCTTCCTCTTAAATTTTTCCACTAACGACTATGTACTGATCTTCTTTATCTCTTTTAATCATTTTAGGTTGGAAGTTCACGTTGTCTGCAAATAGAATAGTTATCGCTGCTTTTCTCTAGGTTCTTGCTGCATGAAATACTGTTTTGATTCTTTGACTTTTAATCTATGAGTTTCCTTTTGGGTCAGATGTGTTTCTTGTGCACAACATATTGTGAGATCGTGTTTCTTGATCCATTCTGCCAATCTATTTCTTTTGATAGGTGAATTGAGGCCATTTACATTTATGGATATCACTGATATGTATTGGCTTGACTTTGACAGTTGTTTGTTTTCTGCTTTTTTTCCCATTTCTTAATTGCTTGTCCTACCTGGTGATTTCTTTCTGTTGTTGTTCTGGGGAATGTGGCCATTTTTATCTCTAGCTAGTATGTCTTTTAATACTCTTTGTAGTGTTGGTTTGGTGGACCAGACTTTCTTACCTTGTTCTTTGTCATGGAAGTATCTTGTTTCTCCATTAAATTTGAATGAAAGTTTTTTTGAGTACATCAGTCTGGGTTGAAAGTTGTTTTCTTTTAGGGCTTGAAATATCTTATTCCAAACTCAACTTGACTTGAGGGTTTGTGCTGAAAAGTCTGCTGGGATTCCAATGAGCTTTCCGTGACTGAGGAGTTGCATTTTTTCTCTAACAGCTTTTAGTATTCTGTTTTTATGCTGTATATCTGGGATCTTAATTATATGTCTGGGTGTAGATTTAAGTTGGTTATGACTGTTTGGCATTCTATATGCTTCACGTATGTGCATATCAGATTTTTTCCCATGTTTGGGAAATTTTCTGCTATTACATCTGAGAATATTTTAGTTATGTCATTTGCATTGATTCCTGCATCTTCACTCATGCCTATTAAGCTTATATTGTTTCTCTTGGCAACATCTTGAAGCTGTTGGATTGTCATTTCATGCTGCTTTGCTATTTTAAAAGTTCTATTCTTTCATGATTGCTAATTGTGATTTGTCCTCAAAGTCTGAAATCCTATCCTCAGCTTCATTTAAATGGTTCTGCCAGCTCTGAATAGCAATTTTTGTTTCTTGCATGTCTCTTTGAGTTTCTTTCTTGAATTCTGCTTGTTTTGATATTGTTCATTCAAGGTTTTAATCAGCTTCCCATGCTCCTGTACTTTTTTCTGTATTTCTTCTCTAGCTGTGCTCAGCAACTCCTTCACTAAGGTTGTTATTTCTATCTTTACATGGGAGATTACTTTTAATTTGATTTCCTCTATAGCCTCATGGAGTTGTTTTATTTCACTTGCTATCTTTTCAGAGCTTTTAAATGTGTTACTTTTGAAGTCCTCTATTTCAATGTCTCCTGTACTTGCTCCTAGTGGACTAGATGTTTGAGATTACATTTTGCTTTTTCATTTTGCCATTTTCCCCTTTCAAGTTAACATTTGGTGCTTCAGTCCCACTAGCGTTAACTGTTGGTAGTTTGAATCTCGGGGTCCTAATGTAAGGTTGGTGTTTGTCCAATTGCTGGGTCACTCAATGAAGAGATAGGCCACTCACCTGACTTCCTACTGCAGGGCCTGTTGGGTGAGTCTTATGTTCTTCCTGGGCTGACAAGCCTAATAGTATTGACGTAGGTCAGCTTTTAGTTCCTGCTATTACTTTATCTTCAGATTATTCCAGGTCACCAAATCTCCCTGTCTATAATGTTTGTGTTGGCTGAGGCCCTACTGTGCCCCTATTGTGTGCCTGTGTATCTCATGAGCCCTTTGAATTTTCTCCAAGTTGGGGAAGTCCTTATTGGCACACTCCTTACCCTGTCTGATGCTTTCTGTGTGTACTCTTGCCAGAATCACCAAGGTCTTACAGTTAGTGGGAGGGAGCTTTACTACTGGACCTATTTACCCACTCTATACCTCTGTTTTAGGGGCATACTCACCACACTGAGTGGAGTCTGCTGAAATCTTCTGTTTGGGTGAGGCAGTTACTAAATCTCCCTTCAAGATTGCACAGTTAATTTGCTATAGCCCAAGATTTTGGGAGAAAGGGTGGGAGCTGAAGGTCAACAGCAGTATTAGGTCCAGGAGGTAGGGAGTGTCCTGGAGGAGCCAGCAGATGTCCTGGGTCCAGGCATCCACTGGGCCTGGGCCAAAATCCCAGGGCAGCGTGGTGTTCCTCAGTGTTAACTGGAGTCATACAGGAAGCCTGCAGCTGTGTGGGCCAAAGTCCAAGGGCAACACACATACCCCAGGGCTGGCAGGAGTTACACAGGATGGTCGTGGCAGCCTAGGCCAAAGTCCCAGGGCAGGGACACATTCTTCAATGCCAGCTGGAGTTTCACCTATTTTCAGGTTTTGCGCAGATTTTTCAGAGCTTCCTCGGTGCACTGGGAATCACCTGGCCCACTTTTACTCCCAGGAAGATTGCTGGCCATTGCTTGCCACTTGGAGCACTGAGTGTGGGCCAGTTGGGCCCTTGGGACTCCCTGTGTCCTTTCGTGATTTCAGATGCAGATCATGGTCTTACCACCTGGGAGCCAAGTTCCCAGTTTTCCCCATAGGCTGAAATTCATCCCACGCGCAGTCAGGGTCCCGTACTGGATTCTGGCCCCTGTTTGCTGCTTGAAAGAGGCTGGGTGTGGCCTAGTTAGGCTAATTTTGTTGTTAATTTTCTAAATTTTATGAAGCTTTGATGTCTCAGTGACTTTACTAACCTTGTCATGTCTGAGAGCTAGAGTAGTTCCTAAAGATATTAGGCCATTTGCTTCTCAAGGCATCAGTCATATGCAAACCAGTAATCCCTAAACTTACACCCTAACTATCTCCTTATCTAAGATTTTCTGGCCACTATTTCTTGACTTCTTAAACACCATAGGGCTTACTACTGGAAAACTAGAGATCGCTATACCCTGCAGCCTCTGAAATTATTGAAACTCTGCAACTATATACTTGTTCAAATTTGCCTGGCCTGGCCTGTCAGGGGTCCCTCCCGCCACCTCCTGACTAACCTGTGTTGCATCCTGTGGCCCCGGGTATCAGGTGCAACCTTCTTCATGAGAAGAGGAAGTAATAAATTCTTGTCTCCAAGAAAGTTGTCTGTCTGTCACCTTATCATACCTGATTGTAGCAAAAATCCTGTGCACACAATCAAGATATCAGGGCCATACCCAGAGCCCAAGGAAACAACAGATAAACTCTCCTTTCCTTGTTCCAATGCCCCCAGGCAAAGTGACTCCTTCTGCAGATTTGAAGCTCTGCTGCTCACTTCTCTGACATTGAAAGCACATTGCTCACACCTGGCAGTGTAGGTTTTGGGAACCCCGCTTTTTGTCTGTGCCTGTGCCTGCCATCTCCTTGTTCTTGTAGTCCAAGTTATGTGTGGAACTCCCCCTTGCATTCTGGGTGCAGTATATAATAGAGCCTAGCAGACGTAGATGCCCCTGTCTGTGCCACACAAGAGGCCTAAACAATGGAAACCCATGTTACTCTCCCTTGGAAATCATCCTAGGCCCCTGAGATTCCCTTCCAGGTCAAGATTTCCTTAAGAAAAGCACTGACTCTGGCAAACACCACATAGTTTTCTTCAACCCATAAATAACTGCTTATCCAGGAACTCCCTGCCCTTCTTTCCCACCCTAAGAGCCATAATTCTTCACAAGGGAAAGCAATTCATGGAACAGCTCTGATTCCTCCCACAGTCACTGATTGAAATAAAAGGCAGATGCGAGGCTGGTGTCAGCATCTTTCGCTTGGCTTGGAAACAGGTGTTTGGGTGGATGAGCCTGTAGGCAAATCTAGGGGTATAATTTCAGCTCACAAATTGTTTGTCCTGTGAGTGCCTCTGCCTCTCCTATTCAATCAAATGTCCTTTTATTATTATTTGTCACCGTAGCACATTCTGGATGAAAAGATCTGGCCTATGTAGGGGGAGGGCTGGGGACTGAATTCAGAGAAATGATAACAGCGGGCTGGGACTTGTGTTTGAAGGTGGACTACATCAAAATGGGACCAACACGTCTCCCATTTGGTGGCTTTGGGAATAGCTGCCAGTGACAGGTAATACAGAGAGTCAATAACTTGCTTCTGATTGCACTTTTCACATGCAACCATTCCTAAACCACATCCTAACCACCACCTCATCTAAGGAGATCTCATCTCTAACAAGACAATAGTCCTGTGGCTCTTTGCTAGTTCATGGAGTCTTCCTGTCAATCAGTATCATAGCATCTATCATGTTCCTATCTCCATCCACTGCCAACTGGGTGCCTCACTTTGACTAGTAACATTCTCATTGTGTCTGTCCTTCTAGGGCCTGCCATACAAACACCTGACCACCCACCACCAGGAGCCTGTACAACGCCATCTGATCAGCACATATGATGACCATTACAACCGGCATAATTATAACCCAAGCTTGCCCGCCCTCCGCACATGGAGTAGACAGAAGTTGCTGTGGCTGCCAGAGAAGGCTGATTTTCCTCTTCTTGGTATTCTTATACTTAAGACATCTCTCCTTTGTTGGTCTGTAAGGAGACTATAAATGCATAGGGCTGAGGCGAGCCCACTTCATGCAGAAGACCCAACATGAGGGGCCCTGACCCCAAAGGAGCTGCAGAATGAGGTTATATGGGAATAAATGAGTCTTGTTTTCCACTCAGGGCCACCGTCTACCATTCTTCTTGACACTGAGGTAATATTGTAATGACCCTTCACCTAGATACCATGTGCTTACCTGGTACACAGATGGTGGAGAGCAACGTCCCCACTTTTTGCCCATCAGTCATTGGCTGGATAGATAGAGACACAATAATTCTCAGATGACATTCCTCACATGTTATGGTGCCTGGGACATAGTGATACCAAGCACAGAGAAGTCCTAACATGTAATATGACATTCTAGTGCAGAGGTAGATGGCACCATTCCTGAATAAGATAATTTAAAATCCAGTAAATAAGATAATTTCAAACAGAGAAAGGTGGTATGGAAAGAAATTCAGTAATAAAAAGAGAGCGGGGCGAGATATTTATGAATCTCTTTTAGGTCTGCCAGCCTATGTTCTGACAGAGCAACCTGGGGAAACCTGTAGGGCCCCACCACCCATTCTCATGCCTCTTTTGTACAAAATTCTTCAAAACCCATGACAACCAAATGTGTTTCTCTTGCAGGTCCCCCTACAAACTATGGACTGTATGAGCGACTGAAGCAGAGGTGGCTTGCCTCCAAGCCTGGCCTCAGAGAAAGTATTTATACTTCTTCCTACCCCAGACCACCAGTGTGTGCAATGTCCAGGAAGGAGCACGCCATCCTGGTCCCTCCCCATTGCCTGCACCCTGTCTCACACTTCTGAAACCTACCACTCTACCAGCAGTTCAGCCAGAAACACCTGGAAATTCACAGCATTTCTGGATCTGCCTGACAATAAAAAGGTGCAGAAGAACCCAGGGAATTAGGTCTGCCCCCAGAGGGATCCTGAGAATCATGAGCTGGATTTTATGGTACTATTACCTTCAAACCCCAGGGTTCGTTTCTTTCCTATCTCTGAATTAAAACTTTTCAACATTGCCTCAGGACCATGCACATGCAGAATACAAGCTAACATTGTCCCAGAGAACCAGAAGTTTGATCTCCTCATTTCACGGGAGGGAAAACTGGAGCCAAAATAATAATGGACTCCCTTGTGTTTTCACAAGTAAGTATGAGTCCTCGAGAAGTGTCTCAAGGGAGGGAAAGCTCATCAAAAAACTCCAGGGAAAATGGAAGAGCTGTTGAGAGGTGATAATGAGGCTGGAGGGCAGCTCACCCAGGGTTATTTAGGTTGGGGAGCCAGGCACTGGCTGTGAAGAAGGGAGAACACAGGGCCTTGCCCTGCACCCTCACAGTACTTTGCAAGATCTGTGGAAGGAAGAGCCTGCTGTTGGGTTGCGAATGAGGTTGGTGCTCTACATGAGTTCAGGTGAACAACTTAGGGTGAACTTTTCCACCTTCACCCGGGATAGACTTTGCCCTGACACGGTGGCCAGTTTGGGTTAAGAATGGTCAGTCCATAATCTGGCCGCTTTCGCTTTGAGATTAATTATAGCCCAGGCTTTCCTTGAAGAATTTTTCTCTACCATATGCTTCCACCCCATTTTCTGCATTCACTACAGTAAGCCTAGTATACGGTGCCTACTATAAACTGGTGCTTGCCAGGCAAGGTGGTGCACGCCTGTAATCTCAGCACTTGAGAGGCTAAGGCAGGAGGAAGGCTGCAAGTCTGAGGCCAGCTGGAACTACAAAATGAGTTCAAAGCCAGCCTGAACTGCATAGTGAAACCCTGTCTCAAAAAGACAAAAATCAAACAAACAAACAGAAAATCCAAGCTGGTGCTTAACAGTCAATAGTTGTGTGTGTGTATGACACCACGTCTCTTTTAGGAATCCTATCTGGACCATTGCCATATGACCTGAGTCTCTGTCTCGATATTCCCCATAAACCTCCACTCTAAATGGGCCTCCCTGCCCAAGCCCTGGCCAAGTTTGGTCCCAGAAGCCTTTCTTTTTCTCAAAAGTTCAGTATCCCACACTTTAGACTTACAAAAAAACACCTCTAGTGGCTTTCTCCTATCACCTTCAAGGAGAAAATTACCTCTCCACTTCTCCTTCCTTAGCACCAGCATGTACCCATCATAGCAGGCTCAAAGTGCCCTTGTGTCTGGCAGATCACCTGCTGTGTCTGCCACCAACACCAAACAACCAAGAGACATTTTTATGCTCTAAAGAAAAATTAAAATTATTGGTGGTTGTATTTCTATTAATCTTTTTCATTGTATCACTTTTGGCACCCACTACTGCACATTCTACAAAATGACAGTAAGGAAGGAAAAAGGAAAGAAGGAAAGAAGAAAGACAAGGAGAGAGAACAGGGAAGGAGGGTGGAGGAATAAATTCAAGTTCAATACTTATTGCAGGTTAAGTGCACACTGACATTCAGGACTTGGGCATAAAGGGGACTGATTATCCAGTTTTATCCTGGGAACAAATAAGATGATTCAGTTGAAAGCCAGATTTGTGCCATCTTTCAAATTGCGCACATTCTGTCTTCAGGTTCCCTATTCTAGGGTTACTCGAGCACCACCTCCAGCTCCTTTTTCATTTTTCTACTTTTAGTTTATCTTAATTGATCCATGTTTGCTAAAAATGAAGCTTACATTCATCCTTGGGAGTAGGTGCATGTACTTGACATATCCTTATTCCTTTCTGTTGCTTGTCTCTTTCCACTCATCTCTCTCCTTCCATCCTTCATCACCTGCCCATTTCACCATTTTCCTTATTCCCCCAAGTATCTATTTGAGTATCCTGTCTTCCCTCCTGACTGGAAACAACTGAGGCAATGTTGCTGTGTGATAGGAATTTTTCAGTTCTACTGTAATCTCAGGAACAACCTTCTTAAGATTGTACATCCAGTAAGCCAGCAAGAAGACATGGAATCTGCAGACAGACCATTGAGCCAGTGCCTTACTGGGGATAATGTTAAACTTGAACTTGAGACCTCAGGGAGTGTTGGTTTGAGAGATTTTATTAGAGGACACTATGTACTTCTGCTTCCTACAAAGACCCAGCTGAGCCACAGACTGGGCAAGGTACAAGAGTCCAGGTGATATAAGAGAAAGAAACTTCCAAACTGCTAGATTTCTAGTACAAGTTTGTGTTCCCTAAACTCAAAGAATAACTTTTAGGAATAACAGAGGTTAAGAGCATAATATATTTATTGCGAGAAAGTAAACCTCTGTCTGTTTCCCTGTGGTATCCTTTGCTATAAGAAGGCAATCACTCACTGAATATCTCTGCAAGCAGGGAGGGATCGCATGTTCCTGAGGCACCTCGGCCTGTAGTGAGTGCTCAGCACACTCTGCCCAAATCTCAGACTGTTCCGGACCCCCCAAGCTTCCGGGTGCAGTGAAGTGGAGCAGTGGGTTAGAGGCCACTACATCCGCCTCCCCATCCCGGCTATACTTGGAGGTCTGCTGAGCTCCCGACGTGTGGGCGGGCCTACACTGTCCCCCGAGCCCAGCCGCACCTAGCCATCAGTGTGCAGAGGAGGAGCTGGGCGGATCTGGAGTGCCTGCAGAAGCCCCTTCCTTTGTCTGGAGGACTGAATATTTCTGCAAGCAGGGAGGGATCGCAGGTTCCTGAGACACCTCGGCCTGTGGTGAGTGCTCAGCACACTCTGCCCAAATCTCAGACTGTTCCGGACCCCCCAGGCTTCCAGGTGCAGTGAAGTGGAGCAGTGGGTTAGAGGCCACTACATCCGCCTCCCCATCCTGGCTGCACTTGGAGGTCTGCTGAGCTTCAGACGGGTGGGCGGGCCCACACTATCCCCGAGCCCAGCCTGTTTTGCTGCCACGCCTTCCTTTGTCTGGAGGACTGTGGATATCTCTGCAAGCAGGGAGGGATCACAGGCTCCTGAGGCACCACGGCCTGTGGTGAGTACCCTAACCTGGCTGCGATTGAAGAGTTGTTGAGCTTCCAAGGGGCAGGTGGGTGCACAGTATCCCTGAGGCCCAGCTTGTCTGGAACTGCGGAGTTCTGAACAAGCAGAGGAGGGCCATTGGTTCTGCAGGCCCAATGGCTTGGGGTAGTGTGGTGCCAGAGTCTCAGTAGCTCCAAACATAGAAGGGGATTTTCAACAGATCCTGAGGAAGCTTTCAAATAACACTTGAAACACAGAAATACAGGAAAGTGACAAAACGAAAGACCAAATTACAACCTCAAACCTCCAGCCCATCTCAGGAAACCCTAGGAGGAATGTATTTAGAAGAAAATATATCCCATCCACCTCATATATCAGACACAATAGCTACTGAAATTGACAAGCAACTCCAGGAAGCTTTAAAGAAATTCAAACTCGAAATAATTTCCCAGATAAAAGAAGAAATGATAAAAGAAATGAAAGAGATTCTAAATATATCTAAAGAAAACACAGATAAAAAATTGGAGGAACTAAACAAAAAGAATCCCTAGACGAGCAATATAAGAAACAAACAGAATACATAATGCAGATGCACAGAGATATACAGGAAATAAAAAACTCCACTGAAAGTTGTAAAAACCACCTCAATGAAAGTGAAGATAGAATTTCAGACCTTGAAGACAGGATTGCAGCTAGTGAACAGGAAAGGAAAGATCTTTTAAAAATAACAAGGAATCAGGAAACAATTCAACAACTGCAAGACGATGCAAAGAAGAATAACATAAGAATGATAGGGATTAATGAAAAAGAAGGAGACAACATAAAGGATATCAAGAGATATTTAGAGAAGTAATAGCTGAAAATTTCCCAAGCATGAGATCAGAAACTGACATCAGGATCAGTGAAGCATATAAAACTCCAAATAGTCAGAACCAAAATAAAACTACACCCAGACATATAATAATCACCATCCCAGAAATCCAACACGAGAATAGATTATTAAAAGCTGTCAGAGAGAAAAGACAGATCACTTATAAAGGAAAACCTATCAGAATCACAGCAGACTTCTCATCACAAACAATAAAGTCAAGAAGAGCATGGAGTGAAGTATTCCAGATCCTAAAGCAAAATGATTTCCAACCTAGACTGATATATCCTGCAAAACTATCATTCAAAATAGATGGTGAAATACGATACTTCCATGACAAAGAACAGCTGAAGAACTTGATGAACACCAAACCAACCCTGCAAGAAATACTGAAAAACAGTTTAGATACACAAAGGAAAAAAACCACTAAGCAAAGCAAATAATTAAACAGAACAGAAAGATAAAGATGCAACAGCAGAGAGATAACATTCCTACAATTAACCAGCATTTAACAGTAATAACCATTAATGTAAATGGTCTCAATGCACCAATCAAAAGAAATAGACTAGCAGAATGGATCAAGAAACAAAATCCAACCATATGTTGTTTACAGGAAACCCATCTAACCCAGAAGGATACCCACAGACTGAAAATCAAAGGATGGAAAACAATTCTTCATGCAGCAGGAATCCAAAAAAAGGCAGGAGTAGCCATTCTGTTTGCAGAAAACATGAACTTTAAACCAACAATGACCATAAAGGACAAAGAAGGTCACTACATACACGTAAGGAGAAAACTCCAAGAGGAAGAGATGACTATCTTAAATATATACGCACCAAACTCCAGAGCACCCAGTTATATAAAACAATTATTAACAGAAATGAAAACTCAAATTATCAGTAACACAATTGTAACAGGAGACCTTAATACGCCATTGACACCAAGGGACAGATCAACCAGAGAGAAAATGAGCAAAGAAATAACAGAACTGAATCATACCTGTGAACAAATGGGTTTGATAGACATATACAGAATGTTCCACCCAACAACATCAGAATACACATTCTTCTCAGCAGTACATGGATCATTTTCTAAAATAGACCATATATTAGCTCACAGAACATATTTAAACAAGTGCAAAAGAGCTGAAATCATCCCTTGCATGTCATCGGATCACAGCGCTATGAAATTAGAAATTAATGATAAAAGATACTGCAAAAATCCCACAAACACATGGAAACTGAATAACACACTCTTGAGTAATCAGTGGGTCACAGAAGAAATTAAAGAAGAAATTAAACAATACCTAAATGAAAATGAAAATGCAGATACAACTTACAGGAATCTGTGGGATGCAATGAAAGCCGTCCTGAGAGGAAAATTTATTGCACTGAGTTCCCACATCAGGAAAACAGAACGAATACAAATAAATAACTTGATGCTACACCTCAAACAGCTAGAAAAAGAAGAGCAAGTCAAGCCCAAAGCCAAAAGAAGAGAGGAAATTATAAAAATCAGAGCAGAAATCAATGCAATAGAGACTAAGAAAACAATCCAAAGAATCAACGAATCAAAGAGTTGGTTCGTTGAAAGAATAAATATAATCGATAAGCCCCTAGCCAACCTTATTAAAAAAAAGGGAAGAAAAAGCTCAAATTCATGCAATAAGAAATGGAAAAGGAGAAGTTACTACAGACCCAATAGAAATACAGAAGATCATCAACACCTATTTCGAAAACCTCTACTCTCAAAAGTTTGATAACACAGAAGAAATAGACAGTTTCTTAGAAGCATATGAAGTGTCAAAGCTAGATCAAGAGGATATAAAACTGTTGAATAACCCAATCTCTGTTACTGAAATTGAAAATGTAATTAAGTCCTTACCCACCAAGAAGAGCCCAGGCCCAGATGGATTCACTGCAGAATTCTACAAGAAATACAAAGAAGACCTAATGCTGACACTCCTCAAACTATTCAATGAAATTGAAAGGGAAGCAATCCTTCCTATCCTAAGTCATTCCTGGAAGCAAATATTACTCTAGTACCAAAACCTGAGAAAGACCCAACTAAAAAAGAGAACTATAGACCGATCTCCCTAATGAACACAGATGCAAAAATCCTCAATAAAATATTGGCAAATAGGATCCAGCAAATCATCAAGAAGATTATACACCATGACCAAGTGGGATTCATCCCAGGAATGCAAGGATGCTTCAACATACGTAAATCAATAAATGTAATCCACCATATCAATAAAGCCAAAAATAAGAATCACATGATCATTTCTATAGATGCAGAAAAAGCCTTCGATAAGGTCCAACATTTATTCATGATAAATACTTTACAGAAAATTGGAATAGATGGTCTTTACCTCAATATAATAAAGGCCATTTATGACAAACCAACAGCCAGCATCATACTAAATGGCCAAAAATTGAAAGCCTTTACTTTAAAATCAGGCACAAGACAAGGATGTCCTTTATCACCACTCCTATTTAATATAGTACTGGAAGTACTAGCCAGAGCAATTAGGCAAGAAAGAGAAACAAAAGGGG